AAAAAAAACAATTGATATTTACACTTAGTGAAGCAAAAAACAAAACCAAAAAACAAAAAAAGCGGAAAGTAAAAGCGAAAAAAAAAACAAAAAACAAAAATGATGCAAATGTGTAAGAAATAAACCCCGTCCTGCATAAATAAAATTAAATAAAAGAATAAAATAAATGGAAACGTAAAGAATATCATAAAACAAAAAAGATTTACACAAAGAATAAATGCAAAACAAACAAACAAAAAACGAGGAAGCAACAAACAAGAAAATTATAATGAAAATCGCATGTGTTTTTGTCGTAGTCTCATCATTGAAAACCAAGTGAAAAGCAAAAAAAAAATTAAAAACAAAAACAAGTAATTTGTAACGAGAAAAAAAAAACAGCAAATAAGAGCAAAAATTTGTGTAATTCTTTTTGTCGAACTATGATTTTTGCCCGAGCGGAGAACTCAGTTGGAGAAAAGTATAAGAAAATTTAAATATTAAATGTACTCAAAGACAATTGTAATTGCAACAATAATTGTACGCTATATATACTATTATTAATGTGGTAAAGATTTCAGCATTCGGCACTGGCCATTGGCCCCCTGATCTTTGATTATTGATCTTTGATCTTTGATCTTCGATCGATGATCGACGATCCACGATTCACGTCGTTCTCTCCGGATCGATATGTCGGGCATTATTACCATATAGCCCCGGGGCGAAGGACCCAGGAAAAGCCAGGAAAATTGTATAATGTTTCACACAAAAACCGAATGATGGAAAACCAAACATAAAACATAAGAATGCAAAGGAAACAAACAACAACAAAACAACAACAACAACAACAAAAGAAAACAAAACCAAAAAAAAACCATTTTCAATGTATAATCATATAATTTGATTTTGAATTTTTGTGTTCTTTTTCGAAATATTTTGCATAAATAAAATAAAATAACAGAAAAACAAACAATCATTTGCGTGAATCAACTTATTATGGCGGTTTTTGAATTCCAGATAACCTCAAGATTACTATGATTTATTCCACGCGATCGGTCATATATTTAATCGATTGCCCGTCAAACCTAATCAATTTTCCTACTTTTATTTTTGGATTAGCATCGAAAATACGTACATGGGGTCAGTTAAAAGCAGATGGAACGGATTTGTTCCAGCTCATGTATAATTATAATCGTATATATTATGTTTAAGGTTTTTTTTTTTTAGTTTAACATATAGATTTAATTAAACGTCGATCAACCAAATAAATGGTTATAATACATTGAGAATAATAAGGAACAAATAACGTGAAAACATAACAGAAAAATGATTAACAAATTGTATAACAAATTAAAGTAAGTTCACTGTTTTAAGGAGCAATTAAACTCCTAGCATTCAAATTATAACAAATTTATAGGTATAAAAACTGATAAAAATTTGAAGCTTAATATTTAATAATAATAATATCTTTCAAGAACTGCGACTGTTAAGCTCCTAAAGAAGCTCACTCGAAGATAGCCAAGACCTCATGCCAGAGGGTCTCGCCGCGAACAGACAGATAAAGATATATACCCCGGAGACCCCAATGGAACATCCATTTAATGAGTTTGACTTCTAAGCGGGGGCTGGGTTACATTGGCATACATGTGTGCGCGCTCATTATGAGTTTCAACTTCGAGTGCGCTAACAAGCCTTTACAATAAATCACTTGAAAAGGTATATGTGAAATCAATGTAAAGCACTTCAGTCTATCAAGTGTCCGGAGCATGAAAATTGACGTACATTTTGATATATGGGGCGGGAGCTGCTTCAGCTTCTGGCTGCTTTTGGTTTGCTTTGGCTTTTCCGTGGGTTTAGTTTGCTTTGGTTTTTGGTTTGTCGCCCCACTTTTAATGGAGCACCGTTTTTTTTGATCGATGTGGAACTCCGTAAATGTGGAGCACGGACAAAAAAACAAACGGACAAGACGGACAGATAGTGATCTGTTCGAAATAGTTCGAGTGCCATTGTGGCTTTGTTTCCCTTGCCTTGCCTTCATTGTGAAACTTTCCAAAGTGCATTCTGCATTCTCAAGAGTGCCCCACACAAGTGGCCACCGTCCGTTGTCCGTTTGTCCGATTGTCCGTTTGTCCGCTACATGACAAATGACAAACAACACACTTGCCGAGCGTGCAGTTCCTCTATCGGAACAATGTTACACCCGAGTAGATAGAGATAGTACGCAGATAATGCGACAGACAACTTTGAAATGCACTTGAGCGTATTGGGAACTCGAGAACATGTGTGTTTTTTTCGATGAAGGCGGTACTTCAGTTGAGAGGTGGCACCGTCCCAAAAGTTCTACTCTAATTTCCCTGTTTTGCACTTGGATTCTCGTTGATCAGCCAAGGACGAATCTGGTAATCAATGGCTTAAAAGGTGGAAGTTACCTCTTTAAAGTTACCCTTTATGCACTGCTAGGGGTATTTTAGTAAATGATATTATATAGCCTTACAACTAATTGTAAGTTTAGAGCTTGACCCATAATAAATCAAAAGTAGTTGGCGACGAATTATAGTTGCTGAATTTGAAATTGTTACCTAATTTGCATTTTCATTTTGAAGGCACCATGGAAATATCAAAATACAGGATAAAGTGATTTCTCTTTATCCGGATTAAAATATAATTAAATAAAGAATAAAGTGATTTCTCTTTATCCGGACTAAAATATAATTAAATAAAGGATAAAGTGATATCTCTTTATCCGAATTAAAATATAATTAATATTAATTAGCCTATTTGGAATATATAGAAAGCTTCTCTTTTAAGTCAGTAATTACTGGACGAAGTTATAATAGCCATTACTTGAAGTTTCTTGATTATTATATGGGCTCGCGATGACTTCACCCAGATTAGTGGAGATCACTTGACGGCACCCCCCAAAGTCCACTGAATGGGTTCTTAAGAAGCAATCTTCAAATGGCTGATATCGGTGCGAGATCTCCAGTGCCAGCACTCCCATTACGGTTGTCATTGTGTCTGGTCGCCGAAGTGACAAGATGTCAGCACTGGGACTCTGATAGCTGGTACAGCTCCTCAGATCGCTGGGGCGTTGAGTTCCACTGGAGCAAATTAGGGGGCGGTCGATGGGGCCCCGGTTGAGATAAGGGCATAAACAAAATGCTCGCGGTCCAACCACCGAGTGGGTGCGAAAGGGACGAATAGACTGACGAGCGGCGGCAGTACGCCCCACCTGAACTGAATGGTGATGGTGGTAGTGGTATTCTGGATGGTAGTGGTATCCCCCCTGATAAGGCGGTGCAAACGGTAGCCCGCTCTCGCATCTGATAAGAATCGGAATGAAATCGAATGGAAGCCAAACATGTTGCTACAACATTAAAAAGCCAGTCCACATTCAAATCGGGGCTGATTAGCCAGCATATCGGAGCTGTAATGTAAAGGGGTTCGTTCCATGTCTCATATGTAGGTTGTGTGTATGTGTTCCCCCGATGTCCACGGCATTATCACGGCTACCATATCGCCACTCTGATATCGCCTCGACCCGTGTGCAAACAAAAACAAAACGAAAATAAAAAACAGAATGCAGAGCCACACGGGAGTTTTATGGGGCCCAACAACTCCCGATCGAACAGCGATATTGTTTGTCAATAAACATACGCGCCACATAATCACCCATAATAATAATAATATCGTTTGGGGCCTTTTTTATTATTATTAGTTCATGATTCGACTTGAACTCGAATCGGGAGTTATAACCTGGTAGCTTATAGTAGCATATAGCCCCTTCACCTTGGTCAGTGTGCTACCGAAACATCAAGTGGCAGTCTTACCAGCGCCCATTAAGATATTTATCGGGCGGCCACTCGACAAATTTATTCACTAGCATTTGCTCGCTGATGGATTGGATCGCTGGTTCCGCGGTGTCTTGTGGGCAAAGTGTCCCATTGAGTGCTGCCAATATAGCCACCCGGTGGGGTCCGACTCTAACGGACAGTTTTAGCGGACAAACGGACAATCGGACAAACGGACAGGTCGCGGTTAGATAACGAGGGGATTAAGTAGTGCTTTGTGTATATTTTCTTTAACAACAGGGATTATACTTTATTGGTAAAAGCAATTTATAGCTTTGGGTGACTAACTCATTGGGAAGTAATACTTTAATAGACATATTTATAATAAATACTCGTAGCTTCCAATCGTAGCTTGGAATGTACATGTTAATGGGGTCACCTTTTAAAAATAAAGAAAATTAAACATCCGAAAAGCCAAGGTAGCAAAGTTCTACAAATAAATATCAAAGAAATCAATCAAGTTGGAAATATAACAAGTTACACCTACAACGTTCGTTGGGGTCACCATTTTAGGTAACAGCTTTGAATAAGAGTGCTTAGAAAAGCTTTTCTTTGTTTTCTTTTTGAGTAAAGCTTAAAACTGGCTTATCGTGTCAAAATTAGGTTTTGGTGGGATCTGTCAATATTTATCATCTCATGTGCCACCTTTTATGATCACTTTGCACCACTGTGCACCACAGCAGCAGCAACAAATCGGTTCAGACCCAGTAAAAATGACTGGTACAAGAACAAATATAAGCGAAAAGCCCCGATTTGGGGCGTTGCGAGTATCTCGCGTCTGGAATATCTCTTCGGGCCAGTTGACTGCATATGTGTGGATACAATATACATATAGGTATATGCATATATATATATATGTACATATATATATGGTCAGGGGGCAGCGATAACTGCAGCGCTCACCTACGGGGACAGCTTTATCGATATTCTTGTGTACACTTATTGATATTTGTTCAACTCGGCTGCCTTCGCCGCTCTCCTGTGCACTGCGTGCGTTTTGTTTAATACCTATTTGACTTTAATAAGTGATTGTTGTACCGTTGCGCCACTCCAATCCACAACTCTGATTCTCCGATACCCCGGTTCTCCGATTCTCCGTTTCTCCGGTTCTCCGAATCTCCGATTCTCGACGGATCCATCGGGTGTCGAGGGCTTCTGGCGGCGGTTCCTGGTTTCCCGGTTTGTTCCATTGGCAGTACGCCAACGCCAGTTGGCACCTTTCGACGTGGAGTCGCTAAAGCCACTCGATCGCAGCGATATCGCCTCTGTTAGAGCGAGAGATCCGGAGTGTTGCCAATGGAGCAAGCGAGATAGGGACAACAAACGGACGCTCTCTTTTCGCGGACAGATTGTTTTTGTTAGCCGACGACGTTTTTATGGCTTATTGAAATCGACCAGCGGCAGTCAAAAAGCGCGCGCTACGCCTGCCACAACCTCGCCAATTCGATCCGGCTTCTATATCTCTGCTATATATCGGAAAATGTAGCTCTCGATCGAGTGCAGTTGACTAGTAATATCCCAATAAATCACGCCTCCGACGCCTAATTGCCGTACACCAGTGTACACACCAATTAAAAAGTGATCGCGCATTAAAAACCCATTCGAGTGCAAATAATTCGTCGACAAATAGTTCATTAAATAATTCATTAAATGTGAAACCCCCCCGCAAGTCAACTAACCTAAACAACCACCACCCCCGCCCAATTTCTAGTAAACACTTTTTTTTTGCTGTTCAGTTTCTGTTACTGTAACACTGTTACATTTTCGGTTGCCATTTTCCTCGATTTTCCCAACGGTTCAGATTTTCCGCACGCGAGAGCCTTAATTATGAGCAATTATAATCCGAATTGCGGTTACTTCGAGGATTGCAGCTACTACACGAACAACGTGTACCAACAGGATTATTGCATGCAGCCGGATTACGAGTACAACAAGCATGTCTACGAGTAAGTACAGCCCAAAGTCACGGCCCGAAATCAGAAATCAGAAATCGGAAAATCGGCCGTCGGCAAATGGGCAAAGTCACTCAACTGTCACAATTAAATTGTAAAAGGGATAAGGGGCCGTGGAATATGACTTGACAGGGATCTAAATGGAGCATTTGATGCTTCACCAATGCAAGCAAATCATCTGTTTACTGGTTTAATTCATAATCTCAATGTAAGAGATATGAGATGTTTCAAAATATATAATATATTTTTTAAAATAATGAAAGTTAAGTGGAATAAATCGTTGTGTTATAGAAGAAATTAAAATATATACAATTATTGTTGACCAAGGTCGATACCAAAACCAACATAATCAAAATAATACATATTTAAAGTGGATAGGTTTTCTAAGGAATTTTTATTTTTATTTTAAATAAATATATATATTTAAATTAATAAACTACATATTGCATATATGTACAAGAAAGATTTATTAAATGCTGAAATCTGAACTAGCAACTACGAAAACCAACTAAATTATATACATGCTTAAGAGCTTAAGTAATAATAGAATTTTATTAGAAGTGGCTCTTTGAAGACAACATTTAACAAGCATTAAATTTTCCACTCTTCAAAGATCACTCGAAGAACATTCATTCATTAAACCTGTTATCAGTCAATGGATCATAGTCTTTTTTTTTGGGACTTCAAGTACATTGTCGTGGTTTGAATCTGACGTTCACAGTTCACAATCTTTCATTCACAATCGTCAGACTTTAATGGTATCATGAGATTGCAAATAGAAGGCATTTCAAAAATATATTGTACTTAGGCAACATAACATCAAATTTATTGAGTCTTAAGTAACTAGTTAGGGTTAATCATCTATGCAATTAAAACTCATTTAAATGTATACCTTTTTTAAGGCTTAGTGGACCAATGATTTGTTTTATATAGCCAAACATATGTGATCGCAATGATCCATAACTAAATGTTCTTGGCCATTCTGTATTGATCATTCAGAGGATTGCAGGTACTTATGCGCACCTGCAAAGAAGTGTCACAATATTTCCTGGAAATCGATGAGGCAATTAAAAACAATTTGATTTAAAATCAGCTAAGAAAACACAAACCGGGGCTAAGAAAACACCGGCCAGAGCAAAAGAGAAATATAAATAGGAATGGAAATAGAAAGGAGCAGGATCAGGGCACGTCGCATTAACATTTAATGGCATAACATAATGAAATTGTATTGGCTACCGAACCGGATCGAAACGAGGTCCGTTTTGGGCTAAGTCCCTGATTTTCGCACACACCTAAGCCAATGTTACGGCATTGTGAATGACCGGGGAGATGGGGATTCATATTCATCCGCCGGCGGAACTGACTGACTGGTCGGTAAGCCGAGGCCAAAAAGGTGTCGGAATAACAGTACTATGTGGCACATATAGCAATAGGGCATGTAGCATACACCATATAGCATATTACACACCCAGACCAACGAAAAACCAAGACCCGAGTGCAATACAATGCGCATTATTTCCACTTTGTCACCTTTCCCGTCGGCGGGGTTTTTGAAAAACCAAAACACATGTTTAGTGAAATCGCCTGGAAAATCACACAAACAGGAGAAAACGAGGCAAGCGACTGCGACTGTAACTGCAACTGCGACAGGCAAAATTTGGGTTTAATTGGGTTTGTCCATAATCGTTGCATCGAACCCTCGGATAATCCGGGATAATGCTGTTTGCCAAATAAAACCAATTCCATTTATTTGTGCTTTATGTCATGTGTGTGAGGTTCGAGTTTCGGAGGTTCGGAGGTTCGAGGTTCAGTTCATTGATGGAATCGGAGGATCTTACAACAAGCAGCCAGTGCTTTGTCCCGATTTCAATCTTGGAATTTCCCTGCGGTAGCAATTGCTGCTCCATATGGCAGGTTGGGTTTTCCTTCAGTTTTGCGAAACCCCTTTCTTTTTGGAGTGGGCTAAACTTGAAGGACAACGGAACGCGGACACGCTACACTTGTCTCCCTGAAATATGAAGTTCGAAAAAATAATTTCATTTGAACGCAGTCAGTCCCCAAACGCAAGTCACTCAAGTTGAACGTACTCCAGAAGAACACAAAAAAAAATATAATAATAATAATAAAAAAACATATATATATGGCCGGGTAAAATCAAAAAAAAAAAAAATAAAATAAAAGTTGAAAGCTTCAAATGCCTGGGAATGTGTGCACATGTCCGCGACGACGGCGACGACCGATGAGCCAGGAAGTAAACAAAGCCCGAACCCACAGGAAAAAATTCAGACAAATCGTGACGGACATATGCGACTTGCGAATCTCCTGTATAACATTGAAACCGAAGTTTTATCTACGATTAAATACCAGTATCTCCCTTTACCCACAATCTTAGTTATTTTATTTATTCCGTTAGCATTAAAGATATATTCTGTCTTATAAACAAGCACAAAAGATTTGTTGGTGTGTTGGGCACTGGAAAGTCGACTATGCCCAAAAGGGATTCCTTCAAATGAGTTCAATTTGGGACCCTCACTTTGCGATAATTTGTGTTTATGTTTCTTCTGCATTTTTTTCGATTTTTGTTCCTCAAATATTAATTTCAAGTCCTGGCTCACTAACAGGGTTGTCACACCATAAAACAAAGCTTTATAAATATTTAACAATAAGTTATTGATATGCTAATAAATAAAAGAATTAAAAGGTTATACTTTTACTTATTAAAGATTGCTTTCCCAAATATGAATGGTCCAAAAAGAAAACTTATATAATACTAATAAATGTTTAACTGATCATTAAAATAAATTATGGATACTGTAATCAATAAAAGGGCTTTAATAGTAAATATATAAATAAATGGGCATAAAATATTAAATGTTTATATAGGAACATTATTTACTGAGAAGCTTTTCACTTAACATTTTTTCTCAAATTTAATGGGTATTAGTTAATACGATGTTTTACTAAATAAAATCTATGTATGTTTGTAATGCTCGACCACTCTGGCTGGTTGGTTTCCATGTCTTCGTTTAGGAAACTGTCACCCGCCGAATAAAAGGAAAGTTTTTCACCTTTTTTCGCTTAAACGGCGCTGTCAAAGCGACGGCCACTTGCCAGGAAAATGCGATGAGGAGGTGGCGCATAAAGTGGGAGTTGGAAAAGTAATAAATGTGGGTGTATCGTGGACAAAGAGTGGCTGTCTCTGCATGTCAGCTCCATTGTCATAAAAACCTAGGGAATATATATATATATATATATATGTGTATATATATAGTCATAGTTTTTTACAACGGCTAGAAATTGATACATTTCACAATTTTGTTGCAGTTGCAGTTTCAGTTTGTCGGGGGACGCGTGACTTTGTGACATTTAATGCCAGTTTGTCAGCCGGTTTTGTCAACGGCATCGCATGTGCTATATAGGCTATGCGGATGCGAAAATAACACAATGAAATTTGCATCCGCGACAGCCATAAGCCCATTCCCATTCCGAATCCAAAAAAAAAGGAGCCCCGAATCCGTTTTGATGGGCCTATAATGAAGCATGTGATTGCCTGAAGTGTCACGGACAAGAGTGCAGGGGCGGAACGCGGGGTCTCAAGTTGTTTTTGGCACAGTTCGAATGGGACACGAGATTGCACAGATACTTGGAAATGCCCATGCCATAGTTGTGTATATATATTCGATATTATTTTGTAATTTAAATGGCTTTTATTCTGCCTAATTTATATTTCATCGTTTCTATTTAGGGCAACACATGGTCCAATAAACAAAATGAATCGGGTTACATACTAAATATAAGTAGATAGTATTGTGTATCAGTAACACCCATTCAGATATAGATATATACATATACATATTCAATTCAACTTAATTATAATTAAGCAGCTTCTCTGTTCACCATTGCTACATTTTTTAAATCCATCTTAATGATTAGCCGACGGTCGACCAAGGGAATCCTCCTTACTATCCACTGATTGCAGCTCAAATGGGATAGTAATAGATGGGATCCTACAATGACCACCACAAATGGGCAAGGTGATGTTCGAAAAAATGAAATTAGGGAACAAAACAATGCGGAACAAAGCGGTGAAATGGCCATTCCGCACGCTGGGCCATTCATGAAAATATGCCATTTGAAGCGGGAATCGCCTTGGCATTTGGAATAAATTGCGAATGAATCGGCTTGGACGACTGGACGTCCTGGTTGTCCTGCTTGTCCTGCTGCCCCCCAGCTGTGAAGGAAGTAGGAAGTGTGCAGAGGAAGTTGGCCGCACTGAACCCAGTTGACCAACTGACCCGGCAACTCCCGCACAGTGGGATGCGCAGCTCAAAAAAGCGAGTGACTGGAAAGACCAGGACAGGCAGTCGGGAAACCCATTTGTCAAGTTACGGGGCGCTACTCACCGATCCTCACAGCTGCACAAAAGATACAGATACGAACACAGATGCGGATGCAGATACAGATACAATAGCGGGACGCAATGCCTTTCATCCTTTTTTATTAGTCAATGAGCTGCTGAATGATCCAACCTCTCCTGAAATTATTGAAAGACGAAGATGGACAGAGAAACATAAAACAAGATTCCAAGTATTTCTTTCCTATTTGATTTGTTTCATTATTTAAGCTGATAAACGGAAGTGATGATAGCCATGATGATTTAGTCTATAGTTTAAGCTTATCAATGTATTTTATGACTAGATAGTATCAAAGTAAAGTTTTTATTGACTTCTTTTTAATATATTAAACCTTATGGATTGTTAAACTGATACCTCCTTGATGACACGCCTTTTAAGCGATCCCCTAAGATAAAGTAAAATAGCTGAAGGATACTGATTTTCTCTAAGCTGACTTAAGCCACTGATGGATTGCTCTAACAAGAAACAAAGAAAGCGAGAGAAATCGACTTGGGATTGACTTCTGAATGCAAATCTCCTACTTTCGATCATTAGGGATCACGAGCCACCCCAAAAAAAAATTGGAAAAACAGACGAGGC